TCTTTACAATTATGATAAAGGAAATTCTGACATCTGTAAATTGCTCACCTGTCTGACAAACTAAGTTGACTTAAAATTACTTTTTAAAACCCTAATTGATTATTGAGACTTTGCTGTGGAAGAAGAATAAAATTTGTCAGTTAGGACTATACCAACAAGAGGAATGTAACAACTAATAGAATTGATACAATTGTTGATAAAAAATATTACCAGCATCCCTTTTCAGCAGGAAGTAGCTAAGAGAATACGCCATCCCCTTTTCCTTATGAATCAGGGTGAAGTCTCTCTCAGGGAGGAGTGATAGAGAATGGCAAAGGACACACTGACAAAGGAGATTAATCAGAACTGGCTTTGACAAGCACTGTGGCAATTGGACAATTAAAATGGACTTTGAAGTGGGGGAAAAAAAAGAGGAATGAACTGGGGAGGAGGGTGGAGAAAATAGTGCAACAATGAATGAATGGAAACCCAAAATCTCCGTAAATGTTCATTAAAATTAATAAAATTTAAAAAATATTAAGTTAAAAAATTCTATTAAGTGAACTAAAGTCTAAACATTACATAGCTTTATCACACAGGTTATCTGCATAAATAAATTCCTATTTTAGTTTGTAAATATTATTTTACTTCCTACCATATACAAGGGAAACACAAACATGGTGGTTAAAAGTATAGAACCCCAAAATTCTTAAAACCATTAGTATTTTCCTTCTTTGTATCATCTTTGACATAACTTTTAACAAGTAACTTCTTTCATATGCATTATTTCAAATTAAATTTAGGGTTTGAAATAAAATTAGATTTTTGCACTGTTATAAAGTAGTAGCTTTCTGAAATTTTGATAATATATAAATTAATTAAATGAAATGAAATTAATCCACTTGACTATCATAAACTTTGTTAAAAAGTGTATTTATACCAATTTAAAGCAAAATTAATATACTAGAGAGTAAAGTTTCTGCATATATCATTTAATAAGTAATGTTGAAAACACATAAAGTCGCAGAAAATTTTCCTTAACAGAAGACACATGCAATACTTCCAAAATGCATAAATTCTAGCAGCACCATGAAAATACAATGTCTGAACATTAGAAGAACCTAATTATAACCAGTGCAGGAAGGGAAAAACCCCACCCCAATTTTCATGAAACTCATTAAAATTTATCAGTACAAAAATAATTTCACAAACTGCTAAAGTATGTATGTCTATTCTGAACACATGGAAATATGAAAAGACCTTTTCATTATATAAACCTTTACCAATATATTACTTCATAACTGAAGATCTTAAAATCACAATGAATAAAACAAAGAGCGAAAATGTTCATTTTCAGCAGTACATTAGAGAACTGGAATACTGTAAAACTATTCCCAAAGAACAGCAGATAGATTAAAATTTTTTAAAAGATAAATAAATCCTGATATTTTGTACAAAATAACAGTAAGCCCCAATATTTCAAACAGCAGATGCCAGGAAGCAAACAATTCCAGTAATGAGACAACAAACCTTCTCCACTTGCATATGCCAATCATTAGATATATAGCTTTTCTATTTAGCATAAAACTAATTTTAACCAAAAGGAAACTCTAAACAGTACCAGTAAGCAAACAGTATATATTTGTTTAGTCCTGAAAGAATATTATCATTTGGATTTCAAAGTATTTCTTTTTATCTCAAGAAATAGCAATTTAGATAAATGTTAACATTACTTCTTCAACTTAGTAAAAAATTCTATCATCTGGGTCTCACTATTTTATATATTCTTTAACTGTAAAAGCATTTAATTTAAATAACTAAGTATGCTAAAAAAGGCATCAATTTCATGAAAATTATTCAATAAGAATGTTTTTTGCATAGTTTAAAACATGAATATAAACAGTACTATAGCACTTGAGCAGCCTATATATTAAAAACATTTAGTTTAGCCGTATAGTTAAAATCAGAAGTAGTAGTGAATAATTTGAGAAAACTCTCTAATGCTACAGAATAAGGAGGAATAGAAAAAGTTGCATATATCTTTTTTTGAAAAGTAATTAAAAAATTTCTGGATGAAATGATATGTCTGGGATTTGTTTCAATGCAGTGGAGGAATGGATAGAGGTGAGAGATGAAATGAAACTGGCCATTTTTCCTTAACTGTTAAAAGTGAGTAATAAATTCGTAAGGGTTCATTACAGTAGCATCTCATATATAATAGAAAATTTATGATAAATACCAAAAGCTAATTTAAAAATCTTAATAAAAAAAAGGAATGGATTAATACAGCTGATCATTCTGCAAGTTTTAGATTTAAATAAAACTTATGTTAAATATTCTTTCTTTCATTTAGGAAACAGAGTTCTATGTCTAATAGGTCTCCAGTGACCAGAATGGGTTAACTTCTGATGCAACAACATGCTTGTGTTGGGACCTGACTAAAATGCCCTATGAACTCACTGGCAACAGAAACTAAGATCAAAAGAGCCAAGTTGCTCTCAGGCTACCCAGGATGGCTCATCTAGACTTTGATTTTAGTATTTTCATGTTCTAAAGGTAGATCTTAACCAAAACACTGATATATTAAACTGTAACCCAACACATACATAAATATTGATATTTTTTAAAAAAACTGTTGCTACTCTTAATGAGAGTTTTATTTTAATGTTTTCTTATTTTGTTTAATACTGCCACTTATAATCGGCTAAATTGATTTCAAACTAATCAGTCTGGTAATCTGGATTAAACTACCTTTGAGGACCCTTTCAAGTCTGATAATTTGATAACTGACATATGCACCTGTAAAGTAGAGGGTTAGTGAAAAAGAAGAAGGCCCTCAATGAGATGGACTGACAGTGACCGCACCAGTGGATTCAGAGTAACCAATCTGAGGATGGTGCAGGATCAGCCAGTGCTTTGTCCTGATGTATGTGGGGTCGCCATGAGTGAAAACGACTGGGCAACACCTAATAACAAACAGTAACACAGGCGTAAAATAATTCAACTTTGGTGGACATGTTGGTTTTAGCTACTAACCAAATGTTGATTAATATAAAATCAAAACAGGTCTAGAACTAGGGGTTTTTGTTTTTTTTACAATATTATTGCTAAGTATTCTTGAAAATAAGAAAAACTGGAAGATTATAGAATGTCTTTACATAATTAAAACTTTGAAGAAGGAGAAAAATTGCTAAATTTTACATGCAGAACTCTGCCAAATATTTCCATGGCTAATCTACAGATTCCAGTAGTAAAAGAAGCAAAATAGTCAAGTCAGAAGAAATTACCCTTATCAGATTCCCAGGATTAGAGAAAATTGGTAAAGAGAGATTAATCCCAGGTAGTAAATCCAATAAACAGAAAATAAAAGATACAAGTAATAAACTAGATAAAAGAACTTTAAATATTTAAAGTTATTTCTACTATGCCATAGCTATAAACCCAAATGCATCATTTAAGTAGTAACCAAAGAAATAAAGTATATAATTATGCTTAGTTTATTTAATTATTAAAAATATATGTATTAGTATATGAAGAAAAATTTCCTTAAATAAGAAAGAATTTTTTTAAATTGCATAGCCATATGGTTACTCTTTAATTCTAATTGCATATTAGAAAAAATGGTTTCACAACTCCTTTACAATTAATTTTTTTTACAGTTAAAATTTTAATAGCTGATATATTTTGGAATACATGCTTGATAAATTCTATCTTTTTAAAATATCAAATTCTTTTATGTTCAACAAATCAGCATGAACAGATAGACGTGAGCTCAGAGAAACCAAAAATTTTCATGTTTTCTGTCATATTTATAGCACAAAACGACAGATTTAGTTAAAGCATGAAATCCCAAGTTCTAGAGTCTATTTAGGAGGGAACTCTGGTAGCATAGTGCTGCACTGCTAACCAGAATATATCTACTATTTCACGGAAAGCTGTAACATTTGTAACAGTAAAATTAAAAAGTCTCAGGCAAGTAAGAGTCTACTACTTGCTCTTTAAGAAAACAGAAAACAAAGCTTCTTAACCTCCTTCTCCTTCCTCAGGAGCTTTCACGGGTTTCCATTATTTTTCTCTATTGTGGGGCGTATGTGGTAAATAGTGAAGGAGTTCAATCAAAACAAAAATTTTCTGGTAAAAGAGAATATCATTAATATAAAATAAAAATTTAATTTTTTTTTAAAAAAGTAATATCTTCTCATTATTCTTAAATAGTTCAAGAATTTGTGGTTTTAAAAACTGGTTCAGAAAACAAGATTTATAACCAAGACTTTTTTCCCCCTTTATTTTTACTAAGAAACAAAAACTGTCTCATCAAAACATTCAAAAAAAGGGACAAATAGAAAGATTTTAATGTAGATGACTGAAAATTATGTTTTGCACTTGCAGTAGTGCTATTATTTCAGATCTGCTTTATATCTAAAATGAAGATGTATCTAGTGTTAGTTGAACCCATGTCCCAAGTCTAATATTAACAATGACTGGCTTATGCTACAAGTGAACTACCAGTTTTTATCTGTGAAATAATTGCTAATACTATGGTAAAACTTAATTTGAGAGTAAGATATCTTGTAAAAAGAAAAATGGAACAAACCAACAACTTAGGATTTTCAAGGATATCTACGAAAATGATAATGACAAATTAAAAAATAGGTAGAAATTATTTACAAAAATGCCTTGCTTGACTGAAATAGGTTTATACTGAAAATCAATTCAATACTCCTCAATGAGAAAATCCGAAATAATCACTCCAGTTCACCTAAGCAAGTGTAAGTGATATATTAATGATTTTAAAAATATATTTCTTTTCCAAAATTAAAAGAAACAAGTACTGGGGTGAGGGAGGAAACCCAAACAACAAACCAAAACCAACAATCAAAACATTCAACTCTACCCAAAATAAAAGCCGGTTTGGTCCAGAGTTTTCACACCAGGTTGTAACTGCAAGATTTATCTGAAAACCAGTCAGTGTCCACATTTACACATTTTACTTAATCATGATGGTGGAATTGAATCTGTACCTATGTGAAAATGGCAATGCATTCTGAGTTGGTTCAGCCCTTGGCTCTGAGTTCTGTGTCACATCAGGTGTTCTTTCATCATCTGTCCCATTGATACTTTCTGGTGTTAAAGGAGACTGAAGATCCCCTCCTGCTGATTCCTTAAAAATAGAGGGGAGAGGGAGGAGGGAAGAAAAAAAATTAAATTTTGTTGGTGTACATGATATCATCTTAAAGTTAAGATGAACTGTAATGTATGCTTTTTAAAGTATATTCCAAAAGATATTTATTTTCCTCAAAGGCATTGTAAGTTTTGAAAAGAAAAACAAATTTTTTGAAGCAAAGCAACTCATAATAATAAAAACAGAACAATTTAGCAATGAAGTTTCAAAGAATTGAAAATCTTTTTGGTTAATAAATGAAAAGGATGATGGCATAAATATACAAGAGAGTGACTGGATTTTGCAGGAACAAGCAGAAGGATGGAATGTGGGAGAAGAGAATGAGGTCCTGGGGGAGAATGAAGTGTATGAAATTTCATATTTTCCTCTGCCCACTTTCCAAGTCCTAGAGGGCCATTCAGAAAAGCACTAGGAAGACCTCTGTAACATTAAACACAATGCCATTTACGCATTTCAGCTTTTCTTTTCATAAAAGAATTGTTTTTCTTCACAAACTTCCCGCTTTCTTTCGATTTTTAATTAAGGTCTGTCGATAAAGATAAATTTAATTTTTCCTTTGAAAAGAAAATTAAATTAAAATGAAACTCAAACTGACATTTAATCTTGTGACTGCCATAATCAGATTACGGCAAATCTGACATTAGAAATCAGAAAGAGGGGTCATTTGATAAACCTCTTAACCAAGGGAGTCCTAGCATCAGACCATGTAAGTGCAGTTTGGCGTATCTTATCAGCATTAAAAATCCACAATTAAAATACTAAACTACATTAGAAAAAGAAAATGAAAACATAAGTACACAACTGATAGTGTAAGTCAGATATGGCCATAATTTAGCAATCTGAAAGTATACAAGATTACTGCAAATACAAAAAGATGTGAATGTGCAATATTAGAAAACGCTTACATGTTGAAAATACATGCGACTTTTCATCTATAGTGTTTTCACTGGCTGACTTTTAATGTTTTGGTAATGTAGTTTCAAGGAGTTAGGCTGTTAATTCCATAGAATGCCTCTTTGATGGTTCAAATACTCTTTGGGAAAGCACTGGGCAATCTCCTCCCATATGATTTATGGTCTCAGAAAACCAATGGAGAGTCAGGTCTAAGTTTGTTCTGACTTCACGGCAATTAAAGACCTATATCTGTATATCTATATCTCACCAAAACTTTATTCCTAGTCCCTTTTAGTCTAGAAGCTCTGCTGAAACCTGATGAGCATCAAAGCAACATGCAAGCTACCAGGTCCGAGAACCAAACTCTGGGTTCACAGTGAAAGCGAAAATGTCAAGTACCAAAACTACCACTGTCTGCATAAGGAGCTGCCTAGCTTATGATAATTTATACTTTGCATTAAAAAAGTTAAATCTAGAGAAGTGCTAAAGGAAAAAAAAGACATGGAAAATATTAATGTGATATTAACTTTCTTTTGAGAGATTTCTGTATAAATTTTATCTCACATTTAAATATTTAACAGAATAATGCAATACTTCTATAAATTATACAAGCTATGACAGATAAAAAGGCTTTTTTCTTGGTTCTACATTATTACTTGACCATCTTTCCATTATTAATGGAGTCTCTTGAGCTCAAATATGACTGAGAATGTAATGGAACTAGGCAGCATTTTGTTCTGTTGTGCACCGGGTCACCATGAACGGAATCAACTTGAAGGTACCCAATAACAATGTAATCTCCATTTGACCAATATTTTTGTTCTTATTTCTTCTCTTAGGTCCTGTTCGTTTTCATAAACTGACAGATAATACAAGAATAAGATATTTTACAGCGAAGTAAAATTCCACCACTGCTGGTGAATAAGAGTGGGAACAGTCTCGATTAAAGTAGCAATTATTTAGGTCAGTTACAAGCTGTTTCAGTAGCCAGAAAAAGTTTAGGGAGCCAGGGAGAAACTGTCAGGTTCTCACCTTTGATATCAATAAAAATAAGCCTATTTGACAGAGGTCAAATTAAATTTAATCAAGGACAACTTCTCAATATGCTAAATTGTAAACCGGCCCAGATCCTATTCCATGGAAATGATAACTGAGACACAGATTAAGATGCTGTCAAGCTGGTTCTGACTCATGGTGACTCTCTATCGGGGTTCCCGGGCAGAAAATGCCTATGAGAGGAGATTGTTCTTTTTTCCCCCAGGTCAGGCTGGTAAATTTGAACTGTCAACCTTTTAAGGTAGCATCCTGATACATTATGTTCTTCTATGCCATTAAAGAATCTGCCTAAAGATTTTCTGGAATTGATTGAGTATAGTGTGGTGGAAGCAAGTAGGATTGAGAGAGAGAAAAAGAAAGAGGAAGATCAGCTTTATTCTAGGTTCTTACTACCTGTTGGGGGTAAATATTCCTGCCAAAAATACGGAAGAACCATTGAGAGAGACATGAGCCTTAGAAAAACTATGAATGCCAGTGCTGCTGAAGTAAGACAACTATTCTCAGAGCTAACTTAAGAAGGAAAAGACTACAGGTTGCAGCAATTCCAATATCTCAATGCAATAGTTTTTCTCAAGGAAAGTTGAGTACTAACTATATTTAATTAACACGTTGCCACAAATGATGGCAAAATGTGTTTCTAAGCACGGTCATCTATTTAAAAGTGTGTGGCAACGTGTTAAAGACATTTTTAGTTATTCAAGATTGTTATATATCTAAAGTGAAAAACAAGAAGCTCAAAGCTTGATTTCTTTTACACTTACAACTATTATTTCAAAAAGTACGTAAAGCTTAATAGGAAAACAAAACCTCTTTTCTTTTCAACTTCCCAATAAGTAACGAAAAATATTTTGTGAAATCTTCTGAAATTTTCTACATGATAAAAGTTTCTACATGCTAAAGATAGCACTGTAAAACTTTTAAATTTTAATATCTTCTAAATATCTAGTTTTAATCTGAATTTTACATACTTTCCTAAACATTCAACTTTAGTTATTCCTTAAAATACTTCAAATAAAATATTCAAATAAAAAGATGGTAACATATTTATTCACTAGAACTTTTAACATTAGGTTTCCTTTTAACACTCTTTTTATACAAATTGTTCCATGCCATTGCATAAAATTTTTACAATGTGCCAGCATTCTCAAAATTTCCATTTTGGTGGAGTTCTCTCACTGATCTAGCTTTCCTTCCCCTCCTTGCTGTTCATCTTTGGTAACTGTTGATCATTTGGTCCTGTGTAATTAATTGTTTAAGGGAATATACTACTCACCAGTCAGCTGAATTGCTGTCAAGTTGAAAATGACTAATCACTGACCCTCTAGCTGGTTTTCAGAGGCTGTCAAGCATGTAAGAGGAGAATGTCCATTTTTCTCCCCTGAAGCAGCTGATGGCCAATTCAAACTTCCCATCTTTGGGCAGGCAATGCAAATTCTTATCAACTAGCTCTGGTGGCCTAGTGGCAAGAAGCTCCACTGCAATCCCAAAGGGGCACGATTCGAGGACACCAGCTGCTAATTGGGAGAAGGATGGGAAATCACCTCCTGTGCAATTAACTGTCTCTGAAAACCTATCAGAGGGTTAGCTATGTGTTGGTTCCAACTTGACAATAAACAACAACAACAACAAGCTACCAGAGCCCCCCACATGATCATACTGTTGTAAGCACCAATCTATTATTTGGCTAAAAGGTAACAGAAATAGCTTTATATCCATGTTCTAAGATTGTTTTAGCCTATAATCTAGAGTTCTTCTAGTCTCTACCAAGCTAATAAATGTGACCCTGTTAGAGTCAAATTTGTCCTATATTTTCCTCTAATCAGGACCTTCTACTGAACCTGAGGTTATTCTTGCCTCACATGAGAGAAGGCTGTGGTTCGTGCGAGCTATTAGTCATCAATTAGTTTCTTTCTCAAGCCTTTTTTCTTAACCTTACTTGTCCAGTATTTTTTTCTAACCTCAATTCTCTAGTTCTCCACAGGAGTAAGGATTACTCTTAGTCACATCTTAAGTGGCCACTTTCAAGCTTTTAAGACTCTGAATGCTACTCAATAATTCAAGACAATTCCTAAGATTTCCAATACCCCACCACAACTTCATCAGCATTTGCTGGGGATTTTTGTTGGTTGGTTTTGATCATTGGCATTTTTTGTAGTGATGAGATGATATTTCACTGTAGTTTGTTTTATAACTAATGGCTAATGACTGTGAATGTCGTTTTTATGCATTTCTTGGTTGCCTGAATGTCTTCTTTGGTGAAATGTTTATTCAAGTTCTTTGCCATCTTTTGATTGGATTGTTTGTCCTTTTAGACTACAAACTTCTGTGACATAATTTCTCTTAAGCTAACAAGCTGTTAGCTGTTATGTGTTGTTGAGGCCGAACCAACAGAGGGTTTTTCAAAAGCTGTAAGTCACATGGGAGGAGACTGCTCTTGCTTCCACAGAACAATCTGTTCCAACTCCCTCCCTCTGAGTTAACAGCACAACTCCTTATCCACTAGGCCATCAGAGCTCCAAGTTATGGCAAGCAACACACATGGCCATTTCTACTAAATGTTTAAGAGAAAAAAAAAATCTATAAATAATGCCATCTTTGAAACACAGACATGTACTTACAAATGTTCTTTTTTATAAGACAAAATAGAAATAAAAACTGAGATAAAATATCTATCACCTTTACATGATTATTTTGAGAAAATAAAATTACTAATATCTCATTGTTTCTAAGAAACACCTCTGACTCACTCTCTCATTAAAACAAATAATCCATAATCAGAAAGAGATAAATGATAGTCAAATTAAAGAAAAAAATATTGTTATAAATGAAAGTCCAGGAGAGTATCATGGAAGCAAAGACTAACACAAAAAGAAAACTGGACACAGATATGAGTCATAAAGCACTTTTTAAGCACTCAAGTAATGGTTTTGTGAAGTTTTTCTGATTACCCATTTAGGAAGTAGTAAGAAATGGGGGAGGTAGGAATACTCTGAATCACATGAGAAAAACAAAAGAAGAAACTTCATTCC